CAGGGGTTAATGTAACAGTGACAGCAAGGTGTACTGAGTGCAAAAGGTGAGGACAGCAGGGTAGCCTCACTGTCAAAGGGACAGCCATCAGTACCCGACAGAGATGCTTTTGTGACAGTGATCAGGTTCAGCTGACAGTCTAGATCACTAGGCAAGTCCATGGCAATGTTGCAAGAATAAGCAGGCACAGTCGTGCTGGTCAGCCATTGACTGCACTATCTCAGACCTGTCCCTGAGCCCAAAGGGGCAAACTCCTAGGAAGGGGGATGTTCTCAGGACAATAACACTGACAAGGCCTATGAAAAACTCTTATTTGTCTACCTGAAAACTCAGATTAAAAAAAAACCTAAATTATTTTTGACTTGGACAAGTGGGAATGAAAAAGAGTTTCATTGTTGCTTTGCTGCTGAACTCAAGAGTTTAACAAACATGGTCACTGTTACATGCTGGTTAACTTTTGAAAAGAATCATTGTTGATTAGTGAAGAACAATGGAGAACGTTTTAGTTGAAGGAACTCTACTTCCATGTCAAACACTCATGTCAAAATACTTCCCCTTCTTTGAAAAGAAAAAAAAAAAATGCTTCTTTGTTAAGCATTGACCCACTGCTACAGTTTATTGCCAGATTAAGTGCAACTCTAAGGAATCTAAGGAATAAAATTACCTAAAGGTATTTTTTTGTTTGGTTTTTTTTGTTTGTTTTTTTTGTTTTTAAAGGTGCCGGTTCTGGTTGAGAACATCTGTTTAAAAAGCAGCTGTTGTTATAATAAAGACAAGAAATAAGACAACTAAGAGGCTAAGAGGCACAGTGGCCATAGGACACCTTCCACCTAACTTCAGAGAGTGATGGTGGGGGTATCTATCCAAGATTAAAGTAATTATGTTGAAGTCCCTTTATTTAATGGGATGATGACACCTCCAAAGCACAATTCACCTGACTTTCTTTAGAAATCTACTTTAGGATGAGCTTAATCCCAATACAGAAGTGCCTTTTCCTCCCGCTTAACATTAAGGGGAATAAAAGGCACCAGTTTAGAGGTGTCTGTCGTACCCATATCTACCTTTGGTTAAACAGATTCTAGCTATGGACAGTGAACTGTTAAAATCAACATCAGAACTAGGACTTTCTCAGTTTGGAGTGGTTCAACAGGTATTGGAAGTGGAACACAAAATCTTACTAGTGTGTTAGAGAGCACACAAGAGAGGATTTTTTCCAACGTACCTGTCACCTTATTGTAGGTAACACAGTGCTTTTATGGTAAGTCTGATCATCTTCACCCTCTCTAACGTTTGCTGGCACTGGATCATCTTCTTAACACAGATATCACCCTAACACATGGCTCAGACACTCCCAATCACACTGCTGCAACATGGCAAATGAGAGCAGAATTTCAGTCGTCCCTACACTGATGAAACATTTGTTCTTTCTGTTAAACTACCCAAGGGCAGTGAACTTAACAGCACTGCCAGTGTGCCAGAACAGTCCTGATCAGGCTCTCAGGTGTCCTTTGGTGCCTGAAAAAACACAAAAACCCAATAAAGCCTTGAACAAAATTATGTATGCAAACAACTTCGCAGAGCAGATAGATGCATCTAAAAACAGATCTGCAGAGCAACTGCAGGACACATAAAGCCAGCATGAATAGAGGTAACATGCATTAATCTTGCTGAATGAAACTTTGGAAAGCTCCAATTTATGGAGCTTTTTAGCTCCATAAATCTAAAAGGATTGAGACTCATTTAATTCTCAAAATGTAAGTATTTCCATCATGAATTACTTTGACTAAAAACCCTGTAATTCACTCACTTTCAAACAGGTATTTTACTCTTTCCCTACTTTGGTTCAGAAGTCAGCAATTCATAAGTGGAAGACTGTAACCACACAGTCTATTTTCTTCCTAATTAAAGAGTCCTGTTAGGACATGTGGAGTAGTTGCTGGATTTTCCTTTTAATTCCAGATCTGTCACTTACTTAAAAAATAACTGTAGCAAATAAAAATGAGCAAGTCTTACAACAGTCCTGCAAAGCTTTCATGTAAGAAAAGGAAAAACTCACTATGCTGCATTTTAAGGGGCCATGCATGTGTGTTAATAGTTGTGGCTGTTCAGCCTAAAGAGAAGCCTGCATGAAGACCTCATAGCAGCCTCCCAATATCTGGAAGAGGCCTGCAAGGATGCAATAGAGGGACTCTCCATCAGGGACTGTAGCAATAGGAAAAAGGGTAATGCATTCTAACTGAAACAAGTTCAGGTTAGATGTAAGGAAGAAGTTCTTTACTGTGAGGGTGGTGAGGCACTGGTACAGGTTGCCCAAAGAAGTGATAAATATTCCCATCTCTGGAAGTGCTGAAGGCCAGACTGGAGAGGGCCTTGGGCAACATCGTCTAGGGTGAGGCGCCCCTGTCCATGGCAGAGGGGTTGGAACTAGATTATTTTAGGTCCTTTCCAACCCTATTCTATGAATCTCTCATCTGTGGAGCTGAGCATCAAGCACAGCCCCAGAAACCTTTCCACAGCCCCAGAACCCTTTCCACAGCCCACACCCTCACAGACACAGTGTTTGTGTGTTACAGAAGACATTTATTGGCATCTTTGCACAGGGGAAAGCTCCCAGAGGGAATGGACTCTGTGAAAGAGGAAGGTCAGTCACTTTCCAAGTAGCAACATTGTGGCCACAGCCAGTGAGAGGAGAAAGCAGGGAGCAAGTCATCTTTGTCACCACTGTAGTCGTCAACGGCTGCTATCTCAAAACCACTGAGAAGAGAATGCTGCCACTCTTGGCAGAGGTCCACTGCACGAGGTCTTCCTTTCTTTGCAGTGTCCTGCACTCTGTCCTTCATCTCCCTCCTGCATGAGGTGGTCCTCATCTGTCCTCAGCTGTGAACACTGCAAACACAGCTCTGTGTATGAAGACCACCTTCAATGCCTGTAGAAAAGCTGTGGTGTAAGCTGATGTTATAGCTCCGCAGACTCATGCATTGTCTGCTCATGGGCAGCCAGATCCTGCGCCAGATGCTGGAAGAAGTTGAATGGCTTGGCTCTTTGCAAGGCTGGGGGCAAGACAATCTCCCCAGGAATCTTCTCATTCCCAAAGAAGTGGTCAGCTTCAGCCCATGGAGGGGCTCCAGGCACATGACCTGGCAACAGACAGGGTTATCTTCCTGGGGACTCCAGCAATCAAAGGTGCTTCCCACCCTGATGGCTGGTCCCAGATCCAGGAAGAAACCCTTTGACAAGAAACCAGACCACTGGCAAGCAACAGGGAGGTTTTCCACCAGCGCCTCCACTAACTCACTCTGGTTTCACAGTTTGTCCACTGACTGTTTGCTGTGCATTATAACATACATGTCCAAATCTGTCGCCTCAGCAGCATCTTTTTTTTTCACTGTCTTCCTCCTCTTTGCTGCTGCTGCTGCCCACCTCATGGCCCCTTTTCCTAAGCCACCAGCACAGCCTGACAATCAGGAGGAGCAGGATGCCAGCAATCACCCAGAACTGCCAGGTCCACAAGGCAGCAAAGACCAGGGCTCTCCAGGTCACATGATCCTGCTCCTTGCTCCTCTGCCCCTGGACCTTCTGCTCCAGCTCTTGCAGCACCAGAGCCATCTCATCCACAAGCATCTCTGAACGCTGCTGCATGTGGTCACGTGTCGCTTCATCCAGATCATCACGGACCGTGAGCACGTGCGAGAATACGCTTTGCAGAACCCAGAGTAAGAGCTTTGTGAGAGCCATGGCCTGCAGGAGAAAGAAGGAATTCAGAGGAGCTGGGAGGGAAGGAGGAAGGGAGCTGGTGGTGGGGGGAGCGGGGACAGGAGCCGCAGAGAGCTGGGGACAGGCAGGAGAGGGAACGAGGCAGCTGGGAGGCAGCAAGGGCTGCACCCAGGCCTGGTGGCAGCAGCAGCGTGCCCTGTGAGCCTCCATGATGCAGGGTGGGCACCCACCCCCAGGCGACCATGTTTCTGCCTCGGCCCTTGTCCAGCCCAGCCTCCCCCCTGTGTGTGCGCTCACCAATGGCCCAGGCATACAGGGATGCCGTAAAGGGCCTCCTCATCAGGGACTATAGCAACAGGACAAGTGGGAATGCATTCAAACTAAAACAGAGGAAGTTCAGGTTAGATACAAGGAAGAAGTTCTTTGTGTTGGGGTGGTGAGGCACTGGAAGAGTGCCCAAAAAAGTGGTAAATGTTCCATCCTTGGCAGTGTTCAGTGTGAGGGTGAACAGAGCCTTGGGCAACATGGTCTAGTGTGAGGCATTCCTGCCCACAGCAGGTGGGTTAGAACTGGATGATCTTAACATCCTGTCCAACCCAAACCATTCTGTGATTCTATGATTATTGCTGAGGCACCTACTAGTGTGTTCTTAAAGCAGAGATTATTTAATGCACAACAGCAGAGATTCCTTTGGACTTACTTCTTTCAGCCTCGCCAAGTTTTTGCTGTTATCAGTTGCACAACACAGTCTAAGGCCTGCCTTTGCCTATTCAGATGAGGAACCACGACTCACATTGTTTCTGAAAGCAAGAGCAGCAACTCCTGCACTTTTCTCTAACCTGCATCACCAGACACTGCTGGCATTGTCCTTGTGGGCAGCACCTCTGTCCCGCTGGGTACGGGTTGATCAAAGCAAAAACATCGATGGGAGCGTCTGCTGGGGTGTGAGTGAGGGCAGGAGAGGCAGCAAAGGGAGGCGTTCGAGGGCAACGGTGCCGCTGCCGGAGTATTCATAGATTCAACTGGTGAAACCTGCGTTCACCAGCTCCGGGGCGCACACGCTGTGGCAGCACCGGGGCTGCGGCCTAGGCCGGGCGGAACCGAAGGCCCAAGCCAGACCCCAGTGCCGGCCTCCCCCGGGGCAGGCCGCGAGCTCCGCAGCACCCGCAGGAGCGGATGCCGCCGGGCAGCCCGGGCCGGGGGCCGCACACAGCGGGTTAGCGCTGCCGGCCCCACGCTCCGCCAGCGTACTCCGCGCCGTCACCCCGTCGTCGCTAGGCCTCGCCGCCAAGGGAGGAAGTGTCGTAACAGCTGACAGGAAACTTGGCCGCGTGTTACGGCAGGGGCGGCCGCGCTTGGCGGCCGGTGGATGAGCGGAGAGTGGGAGCCGCGGCGCTGAGGAGTCGCGGGGGTGAGTGGCCGTGGCGGCAGGTGGGGAGGTTCGCGGGGTGGCGGGTGGTCGGTCGGGGCTCATGAGGGACTGGGGAAAGGCCTCTGCAGCGGTGGCGGGGGGAGCGGGGCAGCAGGCAGAGGCGGTGGCGGGGCGACGAGGCGGGGCCCGGGCACCGTTTCTGCCTTTGTTCGCGCCCCCCACCCACCCCCACCCCCCCCCAACCCCCGTCGCGACCGTGGCCCATGAGGCCGCCGCTTTCTCTTCTCGCCCCCGTCTCGTCTGACGCCCTCCTCCTCGGTGAGTTTGTGTCGGTCTCTCCCGTAGGATATGGCCGAGGTACCGCCGGGGCCTAGCAGCGTACTCTCCCCGCAGGGGGACACGCTCTCCCCCTTCCCCGGAGGAGGAGGAGGAGGGGGGACTGCTTCCTCCTCCTCTTACACCTTTTCTGCTGCCGCCGCCGTCTGTACCGGGGCCCAGGACGAGGAGGCCGAAGAGGAGGAGGAAGAGGAGGGACCCGCGGGAGGACTGGAGCAACAGCGAGGAGGAGGAGGAGGCAGCGACGGAGGCAAAGGGGGGCAGCAGCACCGCCACCACCATCATCATTCCCCGCACCACAACCACCAGCTCAACGGCCTTATCAGCCCCGAGCTGCGGCATCTGCGGGCCTCCCTCAAGGGCAAAATCCTCACCTCGGAGGCAGGGGTAGCTCCCGAGGGGCTGGAGAACAAGCGAGCCAGCAAAACAATGGGCTCTGGACAGCAGCAGCAATCGTCGCCCCCAACCACAGCACCGTGCTCATCCTCCCTTACCAACCACCTCCCTCTTCAGGGAAGGACTGCACCCTCTCCTCCTCCTTCTCCTCCAGCAGCAGCAACAAGAGAGGACAGTAGCCAGCCTGCTGCCACAACTACGACTGCTGCTAAGACTGCAGCCGACAGTGGACTGGCAGAAGGGACTGGCTTGGAGGAGGAAGAGCAGGAGGAGGGGAATAAAGGAGGGGAGCAGGAGGAGTCCCTGCTGCTACTCTCCGGGTCCTTAGCAGCAGCTTGTAGTTTGAAAGGCTCGGGAACGGACTCTCAGCCCGAGGAGGACATAACGATACGATACGTCCAATATGAGTCAGAGCTGCAGATGCCCGATATCATGAGACTGATCACCAAAGATCTGTCTGAACCCTACTCCATTTACACATATAGGTATTTTATCCACAACTGGCCACAACTTTGCTTTTTGGTAAGTGCCAGAGGGGGAAGGGAGGGAAGGAATTGGGAGTGGTTTGGAGCTGGGTGGGAGAGGATTGAAAGGTTGATATTTGTGGAAATGCTTCTAATAATCTTTTTGTGGATAAGGCCAAGCTTTTTTTGACCTACTGAAGTTCCTCTGTGACTTGTGCATGTATAAGTAAAGCATGCACCTGAAGTTCCTAAGTTGTTAATATATGTTTTAGGTGGTAGGGAAAGGATTTGAGCACAAGGTTAGGATCCAGGAATTCAAGGCTTCTAATCTTGGTTTTGACATTGACTTTTGTGACCTTTGGTATCTCACTTTATCATTCTGTCACAGTTCTGAGGTGCGTATTTAAAAAAGAAAGTACTTGGTCTACTAGTGTCTTACAGTGCCTAGTAAATGTTGCACAGTAGTTCTAAAACAGACTTGAGAATGGCTAATATAAATGCTCAGTAATACATGGAGAAACACTGTGAAAGGTTTTGTAGGCTTTTTGATCTGTGAGCTTACTTTGTAAAGAGACAAGTACAACTGTATTGCTTCTTACAGGTGTGAAAGTGTATGCAGCATTCAGAAATTCTTGTGCTGCTTAGATTGTCTTGCTGTACTAACAATGTATTTAGTTTTATATTCTTCCTGTTGCATTATTGTAAAGACTGATCTGGCTGTCACCCTGTCTTCCGAAATATTTAACAAATCTCATGGAAGATCTCGTGTCTCAGTTCAAAAGCATGCTTTCAGGATGATAATCCATCCAGAGGTATATAAAACTGAGTATGAATTGACCTGAGGAGTACACATGCACAGTGGGAGTTTAGCTGTTTGATTTATTCATAGAAAAATGTAGGTCTGCGAAACAGAACATTTATGGGAGTGTGTGATGCTTATTTGCTGTGGTAAATGATGAATTCTTCTCTCATGATGTTTTAATCAAAGCTGGACACCTTGCTGAAAGGTATGATTTAACCAGAACCAAAACACCCTTCAATTCATGAATAACTCTGTGAAATTTTAATAGGATATGAATACAGGAGGTAAGGCTAATGGAATCCATCTGGCCTTAAACTTCCTGAATGTTCTTGGTTTAGGGTTTGGTTTAATTTATAGTGGGATTTCTATGATTAATGGGAGGATTTTCAAAACCGTGCCTCTTAAAACCCTGAAGAGGGAATACAGTAGGATTATAGTAAGTTGAGTAAAGCGTTACCTTCTGGAACAAAATAGGACTACAAAAATATTTGCAGACGTTGTTTGGTGCGAAGTCATGTTTGCCATTATAAAGATACCGATCAGAGCAGAATGGTATTTTTTAAGCATAGAGCTATGTGTGACCGATTTACTTCTATTGAAAATAAATGCTTTTAAGCAACAAATGTTCATACTTTCCTCATCAAGTGTGTTGCTGGTAAAGTCAAGGTAATGTTGGATACAGTTAGATCACAATGCATTTGTTTAGATATTAAATCTTTAGGGGGTTTTCATCAGGGAGTAACTTGAGAATTTTGTGAGGAAACCACAATGACAACTTGTTTGATAGAGCAATATATCAGAAGTGCATTCAAAGAATAAGATGTCACTCAAGGAAAAGAAGGTATCTTTAAGCTTATTTTATCGTGACAGCTTCTCTTTGTTTTGGTTTCTTTTTTTTGTTATTGTTGCATTTTTTTGGCTTGGTTTTTTTTTTCTATAACCTTGATGAATCAACAAAGCTTTACTTGAACTCTGTATTTGCCCTTTTTTTTAAGGGTGGAAAAATGTAAAGTACATAAAACTGTAGAGATGAATATGTGGCTATGAATGACTAAAGCTAGCCGATTGTTATTACTTAGTAATTTGAAGGTCTTGGCATACGTTGAGTCAAATTTGATGGACTTTGTGACTGGTTTTGGTATTTTTAAGGTTTGTTTTTTAGCAATTGTCTTGAAGACTTTCTGTTCTATAAAATTTAATTATTCCTGCTGCTAATGGATTCCTGAACTACTACTGTTTAATAAGTCTCTTTAAAATATTTATCTTCTGTCAGGGACTTCATATTCCAATTAGCAAGAACAGTAGCAGGATACTGAGCAGAAGCTTATTGCCTGGTCTCACAGAATCATTTTTCTTTAGTGCCTTGTGTCCTCAAACCCTTCTGGTTCTAGGTTTTGATTGCTTTTTGGGAGAGGGGTTACACTGCAATTTGATTGCTTTTTGGGAGAGGGGTTACACTGCAATTTGATTGCTTTTGAAAAATGTATCTGTAGGGATCCAACTAATTCCTTTACTGAATTTCACCATCACCATTTTTAAAATCCTCCAGTGTATGCTCACATCTCTTCACTGCACTGTCATGGGCTCCCTTTACCTTCTCAGCATGTGAGGGGAAAATGCTAACCCCATTTAAATTGAAGATGGGATGTGTAATTTCTGTAAATGATCACCAGTTGTTCCTTGCTGACATTTATTCACTAAGCCTCCTAAACACCATAATTTTCCTATCTAGCATTTTGGCTACCTGACAATGCAGAGCTGTTTTCTGGGGGCATTATGAACATTATTCCTGGCAATGATTATCTCATGGGTTTGAAACTTGCTGAGTTTTGGCTTGCCTTCTCAAGGTGTACTGTTGCTACAGTAATGGAAAGGGCTGCTTGTTATTTCTTTTTGTTCAACTACCTCTTGTGTTTCTCTGATTTGGGAAGCTAACAAAGACCTCCCACAACCGACGCATATTTATGAGTGTGTGTATGTATACATTTTAGGGTCAGGTTTTTGTTGATTTAGGGCTCAAAATAAATTCCTAGCAGGATGTCACGGTGCCAGATACAAGAATGCACAACTGGAGGGAAAGCACAGTACCAACCCTTACTTGTTAGTTACTACCGTGTTCTGCTGTATCAGACTGCCTCCTAACTGTACACTCAAGTTCATAGTCACTTTAAAAGCGCCTGCAGATACTAGGAATCTTCAAAACCTGTTCATTTTAACATCAGATTCATCCAAACTGTCTTCCTGACTTTACGGTAACAAGTTGGGAATACTTGATTATCAGTTCTGATGTGTTACACTACAGCATTACTGACTGAGCTGTTGCAAGGTAAAAACCTTATTCATAAACTGCAACTGTCTGCTTAAACTCCAGTTTCACCTGTCTTTGGAAAAGCAGGTTTGTGCTGTGTGCTAGGTATGGGAGCCCTATAAGTGCCCAGTTTTTACTTATTCTCTGGAGCTCCGTCAGCCCAGTTTCTCTTCTACGCTAACCACGTTTCTGTCAAAAAATGATCCAGGAAAAGGGGATGTTTTGTTTTACATGAAGCATTGTCAAGCCTCACTATAGCTTTGTCCCCATATGGATTGTAAACACTTTTAAAAAATTGTAGCTTCCTTTTAAAGTGCTTTTGTAGCTTCTAGTCCTGTCAGCATTGAAATTCTGAAACTTCCATTTAGAACTGATACCTTAAATGTTTCAGAAAATTGTTTTCAAAATACTTTAGCATGGGAGAGGTGAGCTTAGGAAACCTTGCTCTGTGCCAAAGTTTGGGTAAGACAGGACGTAGTAAAAGCAGAGTTCTGGCTGAGTGGTGTAACCTTTCCTGTCATTCACAATGCTGCACCACGTGACTACTTTTTAAGCAAAAGGTCTCTGCTTCTGGGTTCATAACTTTGCCACTAGCTATAGCAGCGTTTATAATTTAAGCTTTCACAAGTTTTAAAATAACCTATTAATACCATATAAGTGGTTTTAGATGTGTTATAATCCTAAATGACTGCAGTTAAGAGCTTCTTGTTTTATACTAATGCTTTTTTTCTTTTTTTTTTTTTAATTGGATTTTCTGCAAGAGTAAGTATACTTCATGTTGAAATTAAGACTTGTAAGACGTTGCCTCTGTTTTTCAGTTGAGGAAAATTGGGACATAAAAGAACCAGAAAAAGTTAGGAAACTGAGAAGTCTTCCTAGCCTCATGACAGACGTAGGAAGAAATTCTATAACATCCGTTCTCAATTTGCAAACTCTCTCTGTATTCCAGTTTCCTCTCAAGAGTGATTGTGGTTTCAGACACAGGCTTGCTGTGCTGCTTCTCACTGTCAGCAGCTTTGTGAAAACTTAAGCCATTGCAGGATGAATATTGAGTACATACGAGTATTGAGTGCGTAACAACAGCTAGTGTAGTTTTCTGGCAATGCCCTAACATGGGAAGGAATTACTCGTGTCCAGTTTCATAGAGTGGAAACATAGAAACTTAGTGATTTGCTCAGTATTATAAAGAGCTCTGGCTGAAGTGCCAGACTTCAGCTTAAAACCATTAGCCTAAATGTATCTTCTAATGGCATTCAGTAATATGATCACTAAATGTAAGCCAAAGGATTCATACAGAGCTGTTTCTGTGATACTTTGGGATGGATTTTGGTGCATCTGTGAAAGAGAAGCTGTGTTGCAGTAGTGCAGGTTCTACTGCATTTGAATTGCAAAATATTTCAGGAGCGAGTTGATTGTTTCAATATTCTTCAAATGGGAACAAATATCACAGGGTCTGGGTATTCAATGCATACTCAGACTGGCTGACAGACTTAATGCCATCTTTGCTAATTAAATTAATGCCAGTTTAATTTTGTGAAAAGTGCTGTTCTTGCTGATTTGCAGGCATTTCTGTGCTAAGTTTTCTGGTAATGGTTGCCATAGAAAGGTATTAAAATCTAGTTTGTGTTAAGTATTTAAATTTACTCATAAGAACAAAGTTGATGCAAATACTGGGTTTGAATTCATATATTTTAATCCTGCTGATGACCTGTGATTGAAGTAACTCTTCTAGTAGTCCATGGGGTTTATAATACATAATAGTAACTTGGGCTGGATTCTGTTTGTAGGAACTTCTGTTTAGAAGTACTGTCATATACCTGAAATGAAAATTTGGCCCACAATTGTCTTTTCAACAAATGGTGTTGTGTGGGAATTATGTTTTTCTTTTTCCTTCCAACTCTCACTATTTCAGTAGGTCTTTTGGTTTTGTTCTTATTTACACAGTTTAACCTTTTCCAGGGAATTAAATTACAAGCATCGCAGAGAAGTTGTGGGCCCAGAGAAGCTGTGGCTGCTTCATCCCTGGCAGAGTTCAAGGCCAGGCTGGATGGGGCTTTGAGCAACCTGGTCTAGTGGAAGGTGTGCCTGCCTGTGGCAGGGGGTTGGAACTAGATGAGCTTTAAGGTCCCTTCCAACCCAAACTATTTGATGATTTTAGTTTATTTCTAGCAATGGATGAGGTTGGAGAGATGGAGAAAGAAGAGGTAAGGCAATACAATGCCTCAGATTGAGGTGGAAATTCAACACTCCCTCTGTAAGCGGAACATCTTAGATTAACTGGCAGATTTACCTTCCTAAAGACAGAGTAACACATTTAAGTATTTGGAGAACTGGTAACAAAGTCATGCTTCACTTAGCTCTCTGCAGCAATGGTAAAACCATTGGGCATTTGCTTCTTTGATCATAAACATAATTCTTTGCTGTCTAGCTTTCTAATTACATGATTCATGAACATAGCTTTTCAGAAAAGTGCCCTAAAGAAAAAAGAGCACAGATACACAGTGTCTAGAATGTCACTACTCTTGAACTGTGTAAAAAATATATCTTAAAAATATTCCTTATGGCTGTTACAACCAACAACTTGCACGTGTTCACTTCAGGGCAAAGCATCTCTTTAACTCTTTTTTTTTTTTTCTTTTTCTTTTTTTTTTTTTAGTGAGGTCTAAAATTACATCTAGGTACTCTGCATAATTATAGCAATGTTATGAAGAGTCTTTCTGATGACACTCTTTATTTAACTCACTGGTTTTCTCAGGTCTGAGCTGAGATACAAAACTTGCTTTTAGCTGATAGTTTACCTGCACAGCTTTAGTGTAAGTACAGCTTTTCTTTTCTATGGAATGAACTGTGTTGTACAATAAATGAAGGACTGTTCAGAGGCTGTATTTCAGTCCATTTAGATCACGCTACAAGTTTTGTTCATTGTTTTAAAACAATATTTAGACTGTTTAGGGTTGTTCTTGGATACCACTAAAAGTGTGGATTCCTGCCAAATAAAAACTTAGCAATAATTATATTTGACTGATGAGCTTAAGCTATTGGAAGTGGTGTTAAAATCATGCTGTATCTTAGCTTTGGAACTGCAGCTCATATGTTTGGGGCTGCTTCATTTCATCTTTGGTACAGCTTCTGGCTGGCAGCTGACCTGGTTAATAACCCACCATCCAGGTAGAGATGCCAGAAGACATTATTCTTCTTGGAATGAAAAAACTGTGTATCCACAGTATAATCTGCATGAATGAATCTTCTATCTGTAGAGCCTTAGCCTACAAGCTGTGTACAAAAAGGTTCAGGTGGTTGGAGGCTTACGGAGTGTAAACCATAGATTTTGGAGAAGCAAGTGCTGGGTTCACAGGTGGGCTGCACTGAGGTCTGGCAGTACGGGCTCTGGCAGGTCCTTTCCATTTGATGTGTGTTATTGTTGTAAATTTGGATTATTCAGAAGTGCCTATGCTAGCACATGCTTGTGCCAATTGTATGCTGTAGCCCTGGTTTAGTTGCTACTCTTGAGCCCAGGCTAGTTCCCCCCTGCAGATAGAGGTCTATCAAAATATGTGGATCCATTTATACACATATACTTACAATTATGAGTTTCCTTTTTATCTCTGTCAATCTTTCCTGAACTAACAGTAATTCATTCTCCCCTTGGATGCTGTCCTGCTCTGCAGCATTATTCAGTTTTAGTGCTCCAGGTTATAATGTCATTAATCTGATTCTGTCTAACCCTTCAGTTAACATATGACTCGGTTTTTCTTACGCTTTTTCTCTAATATATTTCATGGTAAAAGTTTGGTGAACACAGTGATTGTGCAAGTGGTTTGATACGTGTTTATTTTTCCTCAATGTTTCAGAATGACTACATCTCCTTGACCATGCTTTTTGTAACAATACTGTTGGGATTAACTGTCGGTACATAACTCTTAAAGAAGGAAATCTCTGAACAGTTAAAATGTGTGATATTACCTCTGTGCTTTTTTTGTTTGTTCTTTGGGTGTCATATGACTGAAAATGACGGTTTCTAAAGATTAAATGCAGCAACATTTTTTTGTGACCCTTTGTGGCCTTGACATTAAAACCAGACAAAAATTAAGCATTTTATCTACCACAGACCTTGAGGATGAAAATTTAGGAATGGACTTTTCTTCCTCTGTAGCAGCCCATGTGAAAGGATGATCTATGCCTTAACTTGGTATTTTTATTTTCTCTCCCTTCTTTCCTATCACATGTGTTTTTGCCTGTAGACTTTATGGATTAATAATGTGGTTTTCTCCAGGACAATTCATTGGATGTTAATTGACTTGTAACTTTATTTAAATATAATAAAGAAATGAGTCCCTTAACCTTATTTATAAACTTTTGGAGATGTTTTAAAAATTTATTTAGTAATTTTTTTTTTTTTTAATCACTTTATGCAAATGTTGTGTGTGGCTGTTTCACTTAAAATGAACTGGTTAACTACTTTTGGTAGCACTGTAGATCACAAACTGAGAATGCATACATGTATGTTTGTCTTTAAGGCCATGGTAGGTGAGGAGTGTGTAGGTGCCATCGTCTGCAAGCTGGATATGCACAAAAAGATGTTCCGCAGAGGTTATATAGCCATGTTAGCAGTGGATTCCAAATACAGAAGAAAAGGAATTGGTAAGAATAGCCTTTTTTGTTACTTCTTACTTAAATCCTGTAGTTGGGATAAATGCAGTTGTCATAAAGGTTTAAGCAGAACTGAACTTCTTCATGTGGTGGGTTTTGTTATCCCTGCCTTACTTGACCACAGTGGCTCCCTAGTGGCTTTTCATATTTTATTAAAATAACTTAAAATGCTCTATGAGATTTACATGTGGAATACAATGAAGCTTAAACAGAAAGGTGGTTAGCAGCCCCTTACCTCTGTCTGTTACCACTGTCAAATAACAGCATTGGGAATTGCTTTGCTTTTTGTTGTGTGCCTTCATCACTGTATTTTTATGTTGTGTTCAGTCTTTTTTCAATGAACTTATCCCCTGGCTTTCCTCTATCAATTATGCATATATTGCCCATTGGGGAGAATATATGTAGCTCATTGTTGTATTAATAAGTGAAGAAAAATAGCTGTGTATTGCTAGTTGAATGACTGAAACAGAGATCTGTTTTGTTGAGAAATTCCATGATAAAAGAAATTGCTTTTGGTAGGGAGTTTGCCTTTCCTCATTAATCAGTTTTGCCCTGATGAAGGGATTTTCCTTCTAACACCAGCTATCCTAGTTGGCTTAATTAAAGATCTGTTCTTATGGAACTTATTTTTTTTGTGTGTGTGTGTTGGTTATTGAGAAACTACATTTTGTAACTTTTTTTTTTAAATTTAAAATGTAGATGTCTGCTTTAAAGCTTAGAAATGTGTTTCACCACTCACTCACTCTGAACAGCTCATATTTTTGTGATTAAAGACAAAAAATTACTTGCAGTGGAAAAATGTGGTGAGGCATTGCAGAATGGTACTGTTGTGTTGGTTCTCTTCAAAACCCCCCTGATAAAACTCCAAGAAACATGAAGTACTGCATGTTACCATGACTGTTCAAGCATGTGTGGATTGTTTTGTTGCAATTCAAAAGCCATTGTTAGTTTCTGTAGTGGAGCAGAGGGAAGAGGGTGCTGAGAAATCACTGTCCTTTCCTTTTAGCTGAATCATGAAGGAGCCTGCCATAATTTAATTGCAGGTGCTTGGATTCATAAGTAAATAGGAACTAATACTGTCATTATGAAAATCTCTGCAAGATTTTCTCCTAGTTTTAGTTAATTCATTATTTTAGAATTACATAAATAGACTTTATATTTAAAGCCTTGCTTACTTTAGCATTCTGCCTGTTGATTTTTTCCTGCATTTGCTACCTTGCTGTTTCTCCACGTATGCTATTAATCTGAAAATTTGTTATAAATGTAGTACAGTGTTGTCATACATTTAATGAAAATCCTAATTGATTAAGGTTCTGAGAATATTTTAAAACATTCTCTAGATTCCTTGGTGTTTTTTTTTTTCTTTAGCCACCTTATAAAAGTGAGATTTATGCAATTTTATGCAATTTCATTGAACACCATTTTTTTGGTCTAATAACTTTGAAATAAATTTACAATTACACCCCAGTTCTACAGACAGGGATATTACATTTGTAGGACTGTTGTGAAACAGATGAAAAATAATGATAAAGAATTAAATTAATGCTTGACTGAGGGGAAGGGATGGGCTTCAACCATACTATTGGATACTAGCAAATCCAAATGGGAGCGAGCCACAAGAAAAGTGGTTTCAAAAGCTCTGTTACTAATAGAAGTATTTGGTTTAGTAAGAGGAAATTCCCTTGGACATTGTATGTCCTTCAAGTACGTGCCAGCATATTTTGACTTTAAATGCAAGAAAAAGGGATGAATCACATCTTGGAAGGCTATGTATAACACCATGTTAAACATAGAAGCCTGTTTCTAATATTCTTGTGTTAGAAATATCTTGCACTTAAGGTGAGTCTCTGGGTAACTTTATGGATTATTTTAATGTTCAAACTTGAGACTGTGTCTTCTTTCTTTCTTTCCTCCCTGCTTTCCCCAGGTATCATGTCATGTAGATAGCGCACATTAGTCATATATATACTAGCATCTTTTGCACTGCAACTCTTGCACTTACTGAAATCTATATTTCAGGTACAAACTTGGTTAAGAAAGCTATTTATGCTATGGTTGAAGGAGATTGTGATGAGGTAAGAGTTTATAATCAAGAACTTTCATAATGTAAATGGTTTGCATTCTCCTATATGCGGATTGAATTCACAGGTTTTTCTTCTACAGGACGTTTTTAGGTGGGAAATGGGTTGCTAAGAAGCTCTTTCATTTATGATAAAAGGAAAAATAACTCTGAAAAGGCATATGGCACAAATGGGAGAAGGATTTTCTAAATTTATCATAAGTGCTTAAATTCAGTGTTTCATGTTTTGTTTTACTTTGTAATGCTTCCTCAGCCTTTGGTCGCAAGCACATTTCCCTCCAAAGACTCTAGTCTAGGGTGCTAATGACCAGTGTAACTTAACCTGTTGTGTGTAATATTTCCATACTTTCAGAGTACACAAAGATACTGAAATAGTACATGCCGTAGTATTGCGGAATGTGCTTTTATCGCAGCAACTCATCAGGCTGTTCTGACAGTGCATAACTATGTTTACATAGCACCAACAGAACTCTGTAATGATTCAGTACGTCAGTGAAAACTTGGAAGGAAAGTGACTGAATCGCTGTCAGACTTTCTTTGTACTATATATTGTTACTCTTTCCTTTTAGCAGATTACAGTCCCTACTGTTTAGGGCTTGCTTTATTGGGGTTTATTTTTTTTTTTAAGTTGTCTGTTTGAGGGGTTTTGTTTGCTTTTTTTTTGTTTTTTTGTTTTGTTTGTTTTTTTTCTTTTTTTTTTTTTTTTTTTTTTTGTTTGATGGGATGGTACTGATACATATATAAAAGTATAAAAAGCAGCTGTCTTTATATGCTGTGTTTAACCTGTGAGGAATGCTCCTTACATCTATCCTCCTTTGACTGTCTGTCCTTCTTAGCCAGTTATCTGCCCCTTTAACTTTCATCTTGTTGGTACCATGCATTTGTTACTTGTTCCTGATATATGATTGTTGTGTCATTTCAGTGTGTCATGATTAATCATTCTTTGATCTCTCTGTTACATTGTTTCAGCTTCTCTCTCAATTGTCCTACTGCAGTGTGGCAAAATTTCTTCTGTAAAACTACAGGTTTTGTCACAGGATTTCTGGCGCATACTCCTTATTTTTCTGCTTTGTTGTGTTACACCTCTTGCAGCACCCCTGCATGTGCTCTCATTTCATTGTTTGAAATACATACTCTTCTTTTCAGATTTCTTCATGCCTGTGCTTACTGGTGCCTTTTTATATTTCTCTCTCTCTCTCCCCCCCCCCCCCCCTTTCCCCTGCCAATTTTTGTCATACTAGGGCAGTATAATGTAATCTGGTAGTTCTGCAATTCTTTAAGTTCTTTGCTTTGGCTTGTTGCTTCTGTCATCATATGTAATATGCTTTGCTCTAATCTGTTTTACTACTTGCTACACTGAACTAATAAAAAAAATAGGGTTGTGGGTTTTTTTGTGGGTTTTTTTTGTGTTTTGTTTTTTTTTTGCAGGGGGGTAGGTTCTTACCCCACCCCCCAAACTTTTCACTGTGGTATTGAATTAATTTGCCATTGCTAGATTATTCAGGATTTAAAATATTAAAGAAATAATTGAAGAATAGTATCACACTGTTCACACTGCAGCTGGAGAATTGAAATGTAATTGCCTACTGTAGTTAGGGTAGTGGCAGAACCAGCTATTTCTATTCAAGCTACCAAAGTTGCAATAATTACCATATGATTTATGAATGTATATGTACTACTCACATAACTTAATTTCTAAATTGGACTAACAGGTATGCACATAGTAATCTGTTCTGTGTCGTCTTCTATGACTGTAATATTCATCTAAGAGCCCTTCTTACTGTTTTTTATCTTTGGAAAAATTAAATAAATGTCGTAAGGATTGCAGGCTAGTCTGCAGTGAGACCTCAGTAATTCTTAGTCACAGATTTTCATTTATGGTGCTGTATAAATGCTTTGTACTAAGTGCAGAGGGCATTTTTCAGAGACTCTTGCTGTCCCTCTTTCATCAGAGGCCCTACAATTCAAGCTCCTTAAAGTATGTGCTGGACGGGTACAGGCATGTTTCAAAGACTGTGTAACTGTTTGTGGGATGATGATTCTAAACTAATTATGCCTTGCTTCTTGGGGGCTTTTGCATCAGCTGAGTCTGGTGCTGGCACAGCATTTTGAAACAGGAGCCCGTTACACCCAGGCAACATGGAGCACAAGCAGAGTATTTTTCCAACTTTCTACAACAGTTAGCAGAGGCATACCTTCATTGATTTTACGTATTTTTCCTGTTTTCATATGCAGCTTATCTACAGCCAAACAGCCAATGTTTTCATGCTTTCTTTTTATTGTCACCAAATGTAGGCTTCTTCCAGATATACGAGGTACAAAATAATGATGTTGCTTACTTGGTACCACATAGTGGATTGCTGAGTTTTCAGTCATGACCAGAATCTGAAAAATCGAACTAGCTAGCTATAAAAAGTCTGGCTCTGTCTGTTTGGCTGTGTTCAACAGAGCCAAAACATTTGCTTCACCAGATTTTACAAGTTGTTGGGAGAAGAGTTTCTGGCTGTCTAATTGATGCCTAGAGCTGATCAAACATGAAGTAGTGCATCACAGCAATATGTCTTTGTGAGGTGTGTAAATAGTTTAATCGTCTCTGCTGCTATTAAGATATTTTTCTACATCACTTAATAAACTCAGAAACATGGTGAAAATAATAAGATGCTGCTACTTGATAGAAGATGACCTGGAATTAAAAAAAAAAAAAAAAAGTTTGCTGCTTTTTGAAACTTTCATGAAATTGGACTAAACACGTGAAATGCAGCTGTGGGTATCATCAAAATTTCCAAAGGCTGCTTGGAAACTAGTTTCTTCAATCTAATTATGGAATAGGTGCAGTAAATGTATGTAAGAATTTGTGGTATATAATCTGGTAAGTGCTTTGTTTGGTGTGTTACCTTTCAAAGTACCATAGATTGGACATTTTGAGGTATCAGCATTAAGTCCTGAAAAATAAAGGATTTATACAACACCATAGATGAAAATCTAGAAAATTCACTACCGATGTGCTGATATTTCAATGTATGCTGCAATATTTTAGTGGTTTAGGATATATTTTTTTCCTGTAAACTATTTTTGTGGGAATAAATGAAGCCAAGCTGTGGAACAAGTGGTTTGCAGTGCAAGCTTCTGTGGTTAGCCAGCTGCCAAAGAGATAGTTTATGCTGTATGCCATCCTTCAAAGACAAGAGGCATTATCCTTCCTTCCAGGTTGTTTCCCAGCTTGAGGAAGCTGGGGTAAGTAAAGAAGTGAATTGGCTGGAACGGAATTTGTGTGGAGGGGAGGAGCTGGCCATGGCTTACATTAGAATAGAAGCAAGGGAAGTGATCTGATGGGGGGGGGGGGGGGGGGGGGGGGGATGGGATGGGGTATGTTTGAACTAGAAATAACCTTCAAGCCTGAAGAAAGTACTCAACAGCATGCTTTGAGCTGGAGTGTCTGGGGTATAGCATTACAAAACTTGAGGTGTCTTTGCCTCCTTTTTTTTTTTTTTTTTAACTGTGGCTTTCTCAGGTATTTGTTGTTAATGAATTCTAATATTTGGGGTACTGAACTGGAGGTTTTTAAGATTATAATGACCTGAGTTTCCAATAAGTCACAAGGATGAAGAATATGGGCTGGTTGCATGGAAAATGTGAACTACAGAAATAGACCAGGTGAAGGTGAATAGTTTTGCTCCCATGTATTTTTCCTATAGTTTTGCAAGTTGGATTCAGGCTGAGTACATTTGCTTAGTTTTTACCGACAAGCAGTTTTTAAAAATTGTAGCGCTCAAGACCTTCACATAGAACTATTCCATACCTTAATCACAATTAGAAAGGAGTTGTTCATTCAGGTTTTCTATCTGTAGCAAATGACTGCTTACAGTTCATTCACTTTGTATTACTGAAATAATGTACCATGTAACTGGTAACTAAAATAAGACTATAAAGTGGAACTTTTGAGAGCTGTTCTAAGCAAAAATGTGGAATGTGAAAAGGAATTGCAACTTCTCATGAGAATTTCCACTGAAACATCAGAGTGATTTAAAGGGGATTTGTTTTGGTTTGGTTTTTTTTTTGACCACCCCAGTAGGCATGTCATTTTAGTTCAGTACCACACTAGTAAAAATTACATGTATATTTCAATATAATCCTATTTAAGTTGAGATAAAATGTTAGGTTTATGAAATTTAAGACTTACGAGAAAGTAACAGCCTTCAGAAGGTTGTGACTTGTGCAGAAAATGCATTTAAACCCAGTCAGGCTTTTGCTGTTCTCCAGGGGAGGATATGATTGTGTTATTGGAGGATTGAACAGGCATATATGTACCACAAAATAGACCCTATGAGACCAGAAATAAATACAATAATTGAGGGTTTGGAGCTTGATCGAAGATTTTGTGCGGGTAGAGATGGATCCTTTACAAAATGAAGCTAATGAAATTTGGATAAAATGTGACTGTTTCCTTTTTAGATACTAGAAACATGTGTTTAGACCTTTGAGATAAAAGCAGTTATGTTGAGATCAGGGAATTACTTTTAATTCTGCTAAGTCTTCATTAGAAATACCAGAGCAAATCTCTTGCATTTGCTTTTAAGACGAGCATTGACTCAGGAAGTAGGATTCCAGCAAACCTGAATTTCAACATTTAACCACTCCCTTAAATTCAATGATCTGCAGTTTTGGAAGTCTTTTAGCATTGCAAAGTATTTGAGCTTGCAGTTGGATATAGACTTGTTATATCACTCTGACAGGTTACTAAACTTTTATGAGAGTGAATGCCATTTGTAGCTCAGAGTTCAAATAATAGTCTTCTGCACTGTAGATTTACATGGGTCAGATTTCTTCTTTGGCATAGTGCTTTGTTTTAATTTGAATTAAGTTGTACAGTGTGCATAACTGTGTAGGAAATAGCACTTTTCAGGAAAATTGCAGCACTTCCATAATTTGTTATAAATTGTTATCCATTTTAATAGATTAAGGATGTTAAGAGTACTTGATCAAGTCACAAGACTTGATGGTAGTATTCTCTGGAGGGCCAGAGAAAGAAATTCAATCCCTAATTCTTGCCATAAGACAAGAATTGAATTAGGTTGTCCTAAGTGTGCAAGTACAACGGAGTGTCTTGCTGTAACTTGAGAACTCTGACTATTAATATTTTAATGTGTGACCCTTAGTTCCTTTTCAGAAAATGAACTTCTTCTAAGTCTTACATTGTTCATTGGGTTGTTAACTCAAGGTTTACTATTCTTTCAACATTCTTACACTGAGAAGTGCAGGGAGAATTATGTATGGGAATGTGGTTAGAGTGGCTTGAAACTTGAGTAATGCTCAAATATATACATTAAATGGATTTTAAATCTTATTGAAGATGACTAGTCTAACTGCTGACTGCCTACCTCTTGTACATTGGCTTAGCCACTCCTCAGACTGCAGAAAACAAACCTGATGAGGAGAAAAGGGAAAGATTTTCTAACACGTAGCTTGAAGTAACTCAGCAATGAGCTTAGTGAGATGGCAAAATAGGTGAGGGGGAATGGAAGTGTGTACCTGAAGGTAGTAGGGCCACAGAGTCCAAGAAATAGACTGACTTAAACTGCTCTACAAATACACACTAATATTTTGTGCCTAGTTTTAGGAGTGTGTGTGGAGGGATGTTAACCAGTTTTCCTCCTTTTTATTGAAAGAGAAGGTTGTCCTGGGTTGTGAGATGGAATAGATGACTTTTTTTGGACTTGGGGAGTCTTACATATGTAGCCCTAACTACACAGAGTGGATATCTCTGTGTCAAAATAGTTGTTAGTGGACTTAACACCAGCAGTAATCACTGGTTTGTTGCAGAAGTTGCTTAAGCTGTATTTTCATTATATGTTCTTTCTGCGGTGTCCATCAGCTCTTGTTTAATACCTGAATGTACATTGTCAAGGGACTGTATGTAGTCTAGTCAGCTTATTAGTTCAGCCTGGGTTCTTGCACAACCATGATTTGTCCTTAATAGCAGAATCATTAAGTAACTGCATTGAACAACAACAAAGAGGCAAAACAAGGTTTTGTCATTTGGAGTGGATACACAGCTTACCAGTTAACAGCAGAGCTCTGTTCAGTGAGTGGAGAAAAGAGGGGAAAACCATTCAGAGGAACATAGTGCCACAGTTTTGTAATTAACTTCTTGATAACACCAATGTAGGGGTTTTGCCTGTACTTGAGACTTCTGGGACAATTTTGAATCTTACTTAATTTGGGCTACTCTTATACTTGGGTTTGGTCTGAGCTATTTGTGACAGGTCTTCCTGCAGCTGGGGTCTTACCAGCACGGGGAGGGGAAAGATGGAAAAAGCTGCTTTTTCTTCCTGGTGTGCACTCTGATTTGGGTTTGGGATGCTTGTGTTGAGCACAGCTATTGGTTGCAAACATTGGGTCTGACAGCTAGTCCTAGAATGCTGAAGCTTATATCTGGGTCTGTATCTATTGAATTAGAGGCCAAAGATATTAAATGACTAAACAAGATCTCATGTGCCAAGTTCTTGTGACATGTAAAGGTTTAATTTCTCATCCAAAATTCAAAGTATGTTTTGGACCCTAACGTGTTTGGTAGGTTGGTTTTGGTTTGGGATTTTTTGAGGGGGAGGTGTTGGGAGGTGGGGCTTATTGGTTGGTTGGGGTTTTTTTCCTTCGCCATTAGGTAATGGGTTGAAATACTATTTACAGCAAAGAACTAAAATCTTGATATGAATGAGTAGTTGTTTACAGCTACAATTGTTGATGCACTACTATTTATTTTTTTAAAATGTGGGAATGGAGAGGGGTTGCTTCAATAAGTTGATTCCACTCATAGCTAATAAGTGTACCCTTTAAAAACCTTGAAATTACTTGAGTAATTATGTGATTGCAACTGCTTTCTAATATGATAACACGTTTTTCCTCTTTCTTGTTTGTTTTTTTTTTTTCTCCCTCAAAGGTTGTATTGGAAACAGAAATCACAAATAAGTCTGCTTTGAAACTTTATGAAAACCTTGGTTTTGTGCGAGACAAGAGGCTGTTCAGATACTATTTAAATGGAGTTGATGCACTGCGTCTTAAACTATGGCTGCGTTAAAAGAAACCATCAAATCAAGAAACTGACGTCCCAACAGCGCAGGGTTGTCCTTTGCATGCAATGCAATTTGTACAAAATTGCTTTGCAGGTGGACTTAGTAATTTTCATACAGCTCTTAATCTGTCAGTGTCTCATTGAGTGTCGCACATATTTGTTGCACTTTGGCATGGCGCATTTGTTCAGAATTAAAATCGATTGTTTCCGACTTCAAGTTCTTTTGGTACCAGCAAGATGTGCCAGTTGATAACCAAGATATTTTCATTCGTTTGCAAGTCTACTGACTGTATTACATACACAGTGAACGTTTTATCAAAGAACCTGTATGTGGAACATGACTTCTGGTTCCAGAAAAAAGCCAACGTAGATTGTAAAATTCTATGAGTATACTAACATTTCATACAAAAATTGCCATAGTTTTCTGGGAAAAGGCTTCAATTTTAGGTTTTATTTTTCAATATTAAATTTTCCATTCTTAAATATTGGTACCTCAGTGATTAGTGAATGAAAAAATGTATTGTAGGGTGGGGTGTGTGTTACAATGAGTAACAGTAACAATTAAATTGCGTCTGCCAGTGCCTGTATAGATAAGTATATTTGTCTTCACCTCTTAAGTTTGGAGTGCATGCTTTTATTCTTTTACTTTCTTCAGTTGTCTTTGCAAGAAAATTTCTGCTTTTATTTAAATTCTGGATTTGATAATAAATTATTTCAGATTTTTATAATTTGGATACTTCTCCCAAATTAGGGTTTGGAAGACCCTTCTTTTCTTATAGCAAGAAGTGTAAGCTATTTTGAAAACCTTGAGTAGCTGCTAAAAGAGAACCTGATGTCACCAGTAAATCTCTGCTGGTCTTGGATGCACTTTTTTCATTAAAAGAGTGAGGGACTTTTGAAAGAATATATAGAAAATTAATGTAAATTGGTATGATTTTATTTAATCAAAATTATTGCTAGAAGCTCAGAAAAACAGCTGTTTTAAGATAGTTAGAACAATTTTTTTTCAGATTCAGAGTGCTTTGCTTCACTGTTCTAAAATGCTTCACTCTTGGTCTTGGAAATAAATTTCAAGGTGTATTGTATGCATTTTTAGCTGCTCTAATTTTCTCTAAACTTTCATGAGCTAAATTATTGGGGGATCTTCACCCTCTAAAATCAAAGCAGAGGGGAAGGACTTCTCTCTTTCTCGCATTTGCTCTTGCTCTGTTTTTCTCTATTTTTCCCTTTTCCTTTCTGAAATTGGGCTTACATAGGTTTTACCAACACCCATCAATATTTTCAGTAATTACAGTGTCTAGGCTTTCTTGTTCAGTGTAATTATACAGCCCAGTTGTATGAATGAGTTTGATTTTTTCACTTTGGAAAGAAAGGTATTAATTGGCTTGTGGAAACACCTATGTAACCTGTGAAAAGGATGAACTCTCAGTGAATCTGCTTTTCTGTAGCTGAGCGTACTCTTCAGATTTGCCTTACTACACTTTTTTTTTTAATTATTATTATTTTTGAGGTTTGGTTTGAGTCATGGGGTTTTTTTTGCTAATTACTATACACTTACAAACAAAACCAACAGAACCCCTACCTCCAGTAACATTTGGAAAAGAGCCCTGTGCAGGAAAACTTGCTTTAGAGGGACGCCTTATTTTGCACAGACCAATCGCACATGGTGGTGGACATTTCTTACCACGTACAAATCATGAGTTGTATTTGAAAATAAAAGATTTTTAATGGAAATTGGCCCTTCTGAGTTTCTGCTTGGAGACACCATTTATGCTTTTGAGGGGGCTTATATTCCTCAGTAAAGAAAACATGCTTAAAATGATGCCCAAGAGAAGATATAATAAACTAGAGACTGCTATTCACAGAACGTGTTGAATTCAGCATAAAACCTGTATGTTGCCACTGCTGACTTGTGACGTGCTAAAACCTTTTGTTCATGTCATCCCGATTGCCAGGTTTGCCAGTTTTTCTGGGTGGCTTTTCAGGAGGTTTTGTTCATAGTTCAGCCCTAATTGTCAGTAATGTTAAATCAGTCAAAACAGATTTCTGTTCACCATGTTCCAGATGGAACCATGACTGCTCTGGCTTGCTTGATCTAAGGGGACAGATCAGAGAGGTTTCTTACCTTGTTAATGGCTGTTGGAATTGTATTGCACATTGCAAAAGGGGCAAGCTTTTGTGTCTGCTGATGTTTAAAAACTGAAAAGCCAGACAGGCAAGTTTTCTGTGGGTTAATATTTAAGCCATGGGTGTCTTCAGATTCAAAAGCTAACTTAAAAGTTAGCTGAAATCACTTTTCACGAAGGCACTGCCAAAATCATTATTTCTAAGCAAACTTCAAATACAATTCTGTTTGTTTGTTGTAAGAAGTAATTGTCGCTGTGCACGTTTTGAAAATACTGCGCAAAATAGGTGCATGTTTCTTTTAAAAGAGCGCGTTACCTGAAAGGTTTTAATATTGCTGCTGTGTAGTACACAGCTCACAATGGGAGATTCTGAAGCTGTATGTGTTGGCTCATATTAAAAGAAACAGATTTGTTCTCTGTGTTGCTTGGGATTTGGATATCAAGTGGGAAGTTTTGAATTTGCAAAGAGATGAAAACAGGTTGAAAAGTTGATGAAAAGAGATGAAAATGAAAAGTTGTTTTTTTTTTTCTCATGTCTGTTGCTGAAACACAGTTCTTTCACCCTCATCTTTTGCATTGACAAATCTTAACTAAGGAGTTGATCACTTTTATATTTAAATTTGCCCAAATGTTACTGTTGGCTGACATGTCAGTATGGATGTTTGTATTGTTTTTTAAGAAATGATCAGGTTCATCACCTTCAAGAAAATAGGCATAACCTAATTGGCATTGCATAGTACATCACAAACTGTTTTTCAGGGCACTGCAAGACATCGCTAAAACTGAGTGCTATGTTACAAAGATTTCAGGTCTTGTGTAAACATTACAACCTATATTGGAGTTCAGGTATCAGGTGGGCATCTGAAAATATCAAGTGTATCTCAAAATACTGGACTGCTGTTTTAAGTGGATTATACTCTTCTATCCCTTTATCCTTTTTGATGAGAACAAAAACAGTGGATTATGAAATGTACAAGCTGTCTAAATACGATGCAGTCAAATAAATGGTTGTTTATTTCCTTTTTAGTGGGAATTTCTAATGATTGTTTTACTTTGTCTACAAAATATGAATTCATGCTTATTCTTGAGAGAGAAATGGAGGAAAAAAAAGTGCAACAGTTGTTTACTGCTGCTTGATTTTCATTTCCAGGCCTGTGTTGGAAGAATCTTGAATAGCTTTTACATAAATGTCAGTGTCATAGGTCAGTTTTTTTTCCATGTCTATTAAGTTATGACTAATGCACTCATTCTGGGCATCCCTGGGAGATAAGGAGTGGGGTTTCTTTTATACTTAAGTTGTAATAAGGAAGAGTTCAGAATTGCTTTGCCTTCCTTGCAAATCTGACAACTATATCTCTTGAAAGTCTATGGGGGAGTCTGCAATTTTTTTTTTTAAACTCCTATGTGTTCTGTTTCCTCTACAGTTACATTTAGGCTCCTAAGATTTCCTGGGACTTTGCCAGCAAGCATTGTGCCTCTTTGGCTGTGGGTTTATAAAAGGTGTGCAGATGAACTGAGAGTTGTAACCAACTTCTACTAAAAGTTACTGGTCGCCTGCCAGCATCACCAGTTCTTTTGTTCTTCCAGCTTTTTTTATTCCTTACAGCTAGGGTACCTAAATACTAGAGTTTGTTACAAATTAAGGCTTCACAAATGTTTTACCACTTCTTACATTTCTTTCTATTTATCCCAGCGGCAAGAAGTGTACATAAATGGAAATTTCTTTCCAGCTTCAGGAACTGAATGGTGAGTGTTGCATGTAACTTTTTACACAGTCATAAATAACCCTGATGCTTTTTTTTACTCTGCCAATTCTTCCAAGTAGTGAATGCCATGAAGATAAGGGTTAAATTCTTTATCTTGTCTTGCACTGCAGTGTATTTATAGCCCTAGTATATCTACCTAGTATACATGGGCTGAAATAGATTTGGAGAAGCCTAACATGTCGTTTAATGTGAAATTATAAGAAGTATTTTTCTCACAGGGAGTCCAGCCTATACAAGACTGGTTAGGTAATATTTTTAGAAATCTGTGTTTTATGTGTTGCCCACCAGTGCACACTTTAAACGTGTAAATTCTTTAAATATGCAGTGCAGAGGCATCCCGAGCTATGACTTGTATGAGGAAAGAGGAATGTCAGTTAAATTTGCAGAGAAGTTTTTGGTAAAGAAGTGTTTTTTTTCTCCTTCTCTTGCTGTCCAGCTTCCTGTGGGACATGGGACTGTGACTACATTTTGCTCTTAATCATCACCCTTCATTCTAAGTCTTAAGGGTGGTAGGGTAAAGAAAAGTGACATTCGAAAGAGTTTAGAATAGGTGAAGTATTGATCTTCTTAACTTGATGTCCTCCATAGGAGGACAGTCCCCCTGCAGTGAAGTGTTTGTGATCCCTCTACAAAGGAAGTTGTGGATGCTTGCAGTTCCTGTGAATTTGAGGAGTGAGGATCTTTTGAGAAGGGCTAAGTATACAAACCATGGGAGGCTCAGGAAGCTTCAGGAGCTGAAAATCCTCAACAGCTGGGAGACTATCCTTCCTTTTCCTAAGGAATCGCCTTGTGGCAACTCTTCCTGTATACCCATAATATGGCCAATGCTTGAGGTTAGAGACTGGACTGAATGGACTCTTGGTCTAAACCAAGGTGAGAGTGTAGGACAGAGCAATACTACCACAGCCAGGGAGCTGGCCAGCTCACAGGGACTGCTTTCACTCTGCAGGCATTAGAGGCTGAAAAGGCTCGTGATTTGTAAGCTTTGGATCTGGGGCTCTATAGGACAAGTGGTGCTTTTGTGCAGTATTTCTTTGCTCTAACACAGTGCCAGGAAAGCTGCCCTGGCTATAAGTAGAATTTTCTATGTGTTTTCGTACCAGGCCAGGGTTCTTTCCTCCTGCCAGCAGAGATGAATGCAACACCCTGTTAACAGCTAAGAAGGGCTTTCTCACCTTGAATTTTTCTGAAGTGTGCCTTGCTAAAGGGTGAACTTGCACCTTGCTAGGATTGTATTTGGTGCAGTCCAATGCCAAAATACAGTTGTTTTCTAACCTCTTTCACTGAACATCTGTTACCATTTAGAAAACATTGCTAAATAAAAAAACATCCCTTCTGACTCACTGCCAGCAATCCCTATTGATCTTTCTTAGATACCTAAGATAGGAAAAAGTTCAAATACAATGTGTGATTTATGGTCTGCGCAGTCCTCTGCCAAGGATTGAGGGCAGGTCACTGCATACTTTTGTCATATATGTATTACCCATAGGCTTTAGGTTGACGATTTCTGGCTTTTAGGTGATTGTGTAGCAAATTAGAGATTTTCTTGGCTTTAAAGACCTGAGTAGAAACAGTGTACTGAAAAGTTTTAATAAGACTATTTTCAGAAATTTTCAGGTCCCTGTGGGGACATGTATTACCCCTCCGATTCAGATTTTGTTAAATCTCACTATTTTATTTTAAACAAGGATGGAGAATGAATGATTCCCTGAATTTTTAGGTGTTTCTTGCAGGTGACTGGAACCTGTAAACTTGAAATGGGAGATATAGATTTAAATTACACCTCTGCACTGACCAGAAGTTTCACCCTGGAGCTAAGCAATTCTCCGACAATCAAAACCAAACCCAGTAAGCAACAAAAAGAAGTCTAAAATGTTTGGGTTTTTTTTTTAACTTTTCTGAGATGTTTTTCCTGGTTTTAGGACTAGCTCGTATGTTGAGGTTTTGGGTTTTCCTTAAATAAAGGATGCAGAAAACCATTTCTGCTGAAGGGAATGCCGCTCTCCAGGTGCTGCAGGGGTGGGAGAAGCTGACAAAGAGAAAGTAATGGCTAAAGATATAAAATGGCAGCTCTAATAGTAACTGGTTTCTGCTTTCTCTCTGTAATAAGATACCACCTGCTGCTTTCTTTTTTTGTTTGTAAAATACCAATGAAGGTGAAGGTTGAAAAAGTAGGTAACAGAGCAGCTTTGCAAAGATAGGAAAGCTTTATGCAAAGCTAAAGTTATTACTGATACTATAAAGGAGGAGGCCAGAACTGTTGTACATGCAACACCCTTCCACACAGAACTTTGAAAATACATGTTCTGTCCACCTGAATGCGCTCATTTCTATGAGTAATTTAGAGCAGACAACTAATTGAATACTCTTGTGTTGCCGCAGCTCCTTCCCGAGGGGTAGCTGCACTGGAAAAGACTCTTAGTCTAAAGCAAAATTAGTCTTTAATATTGGAAAGAACAAACAAATGAGCCCTCTGATGCAATTCATGTGGTTGATGTGTCACTTCTGAATTGCACTGTGCTTCAACCTCATTGACTCAAAGCATAAGGGCTTGATAGAGGAGCTAATTATATTAAGAAGAAAACCAGCTGCTCTTCAGCCAAATTAAGGATGTCCTTTCCATCTCCCTTCTCCATGCAACGACATGCTGATCTGAGCATCCTGCAGCTTTCCAGTGAATGAGTGGCAGTTTCAGGTGTGCAAAGCTGCCTTTGCCCAGTAGAGGCTTGCGCTGTGTGTGGCTAATGCTGCTGTTCAGTGATACAATTTGCCAGAAAATGTGATTGCTTCCCCCTCCAGTTTTTTTGCACGCATGACTTGATCCAGAAGCTCTTCAGTTGCCTTAGGTCCAAAGTCTCGTGGCTGGCGCAGAGTGTGTTTTTGCGGTTCTAAACTGAGTTTGTTGGGGATGAGTGAGCTGGGCCATCTAAAAATGTAAACAGCCTCAAAAAAGTAAATAAATTGGGAAGTGGTTCAAGCTGTAAAAGGTGGTTGGAATTCTTTTCTGCAAATAGCAGAGATTTTTATCTTGTTGCCTGAAAGTGACACTCAAAAAAATTGCTCTCTTGGGGCCGGAAAAGAAGTTCTTCATTTCAGAAAACAGGGCTGGATATGATTAAAAAGAGAAAATGTTCTCCTTGGGGGGGGTTATTTTATTGAAGTGAAAATTGAAAAGATGGCAATCCCTGAGCAGTCAATGAACCAATGATCACCCACAACAGTTTCATTTGTAAGCTGACAAATGGAATACGCAGAAGGCATCTGCATAGGTGCTACCTATCTTGCACTGAGCAAAGGTGAGACCGTTGTATAATCTCAGTATACTCGATCCTTTGTGCCTTGTCAAAATATGCCAAAAATACTTTTATTGAAGTGTAAAAAATCAGTGTTTTGGCTCTGGCCATGTAGAAATAGCTTTTCTTAACAGGAATTCTGTAGTTCTCTGTGAGAGTATTTTGCAGTAAATTATGCATTCTTGGAAAGTCCTTTGGAAGAAGTACACTGAGAACTTTTCCAGTGTCAAAATCCCAAGAACGCTTTGAAACCTACAGAAAGAACCCTTTTTTCTTTCACAGTTCCTGGAAGTGACTTCTGTTTATTGGTCACCAGCTAAAGAACTTAGTAAATACTTCCAAGCATAGAAATAAAAATCAAAGATTTGGAAAAACATCTGTAAAATATCTTTGTAGAGATCTTTTACCAGCTTCAGCCCTCTTCCACCCCTGTTTGAGCTTGGCAGACTTTTAGTTTTCAACCTATTCTAACACTGAAAGAACATATTACTATGAGTAAGTTTTTTCTGGTAAATAGTTTTCAGGGATCTCTGTATTTCTTTAAGCAGCAAGTTCCTGATCCTTGAAATTTAAAGATAATTTTCTGAGGTTTCTTTCAATTGCATCCAGCCCCAAAACTGTCTTCTGTCAATGTGCATCAGAAATCTAGCATAATTGCTGGGGCTCTTTTACATTGAATTGCTTTTAAAACATTCCTTGTTGTCTTAAGCTTCTTTTGGAAGCTAGCCCTGATGCTGTGCAGGCACAGCAGACAAAGCAGTGAGCATCCACTCTGCCTCATCTGCAGGCAAAGAACATGTGATGGTTGCGCATCCACCTGAATGCAGTCAGCATCAGGCAGCAGTTTTAGGGCAGACTAGGAAAAGAGCTGCAGTCCCCAGACAGGGAAAAAAAGAGGAAAATGAGGCAGCAGAGTCTGAGTGTGCTGGCATCTTTTGGATACACAAATTCTAGAATTCAGAACTGC